TATCAAATAACTAAAAAATATTATTTCAATAAAAAGTAATCAACTAGTTTTAATATTTTAAGAGTATATTACATCTGCAAGCAATGTCTCCATCTTACAAACGCATAGCATAGCAAATTTTTCAATCTAAATAATCCATTACTTTCCTTGTGTTAACAGTGAATTGACCCATTATCAAATTTAAAAGTAAGAACTAATGAACTTTGTAGGCTTTTTTCAATGTTTTTATTTTAAAATGCTTATAACTCACTTAAATATAAATATATATATATATATAAATCCAATGAGATTAACTAGGTAATATATTTACTTTTAACTTTGATAATAGATCAATTCACTGTTATATCAAACATGTCAGAGTTTAATACATTACTCAGATATAACATTTTATGCGTTTGTAAGATAGAGAGCCTACATGTGGGTATAACGTCCTCTGAATGAATTGTGCTTACCTCTCCTGTATGGAGTGCATTATAAAAATCTGCCATATACAAATCAAACAATTGTAACGATCTTAAAATCGATGGATTATCTGCTATATCTTCAATTCTGTCAGTGTCTACTTTTATATGCCTAAATATATTTTTATTTATATTTTAAGATTCCAAAATATATAAATGTCATGATAAGATAAGAATTAATTTTTATTAATGTGTAATGTGAATATAGGTTGATTCATTTAATATAAGACATTGATTATTTTAAAAACTATCAATGTTTTGTTACATCATTTCAAGTTGTTCAAAAATAACTTTTTCTAAAAAATATATTTTTTTAAATTTTTTTAATGTTTATATGAATTTTTCATTTCTTATTCTAAAACAGAATATTTAAGCTTTAATACATAAAAATGAGATTTAAACAAGAAATTTAAAAGCTATAAGAACTTAATGTTTAGATATACAAAGTGGTGTAGTTCAGAAGTACTCTGCAAAATATTGTTATATTACTCTACTTATCTTAACTTGTACTTATAACTAATAAACTACTAATCAGGGATTTGATTTTAATAAATTAAAATACTCCATATATTTGCTTAAAAAAATAAAATAAAAAATGTATACTATCATTCAAGACTTGTGTTTTAAGTAGTAAAAACTTAAAATATTATAAAATATAAATGTAGTTAAACATAATCTTTTTTTTAAATGTTGTTTTGTAAAGCGTTAATATTTTTAGAAATGATGAACGTCTTACATTAAATAGATCACCAAATATAATTATTACCACAGTATAACTATATAATATTTCAAAACTCAATTATTTATCAATATTATATTGAAATATAGTAGTATTTAATAATTAGAACATCAAGAGAAAGTTGCACCCACATGTGTTGTTAACATCTTTCACACGTACGGCATAGAAAATTTTCATTCATCAGTTTCAATAGTGTGCTTATACGTAGTTTTGATATTAGAGAGAATTGACTTATTATCAAACATTTAGGTAAGAATATTATCTGAGTTTTCTTGTTGGTTTTTATGATATTTCAATTTTTAAGTGAGTAATGAGCATTTTCAAATATTTATATTTGTCATATTCATAACTCACTTAAAAATTGAAATATTGTAAAAAATTAAGTAGAGAACACAGATAGTGATCTTACCTAAATGTTTGATAATAAGTCAAGTCTCTTTGATATCAAAACTATCTATTAAAACTGGTGAACAAAAATTTACTACGTCGTACATGTGTAAGACGGAAACAACACGTGCGGGTGCAGTGTTCTCTTAAACACATTGTATATTACATACCTCAACATAAGTTTAGATAATCTATCTAACCAATAAATGTTTACTGACATCAATCCATTATAAAAAACATTTGGAGGCATTATTGTCCAAATAGGCCAAATGGATGGTTTCAAATTTTCTAAAATAGATACCTAAAAGTATTTCAGTTAGTAATTTAATTTATATACATGCATAAAATGTACTATATTCTTAATTTACAAAAAACTTACTTTTTCAAAAAATGTATAAACTGTATGTTTTAATTGTTCTTCTTGTGGATAATGATAAATACATATTGAGCACCAGTGTGATATATATTTTGTCAAACATTTTACTATTTCAAATTCTGTTTCTTCTCTTAATTCTTCACCAAATAATGTACAGTTTTTATTTTTTCTGGTTTGTTTAGAATTAAAATACTAAAAAAAAATTGTAAATCAATGCAATTACTAAATGTATTAAAAAATTATAAAAATTACAAATTTTAGACAATTAATCATTTATTTTCTGATTGAAAAATAGAGAAACCTCAGCAGTATTAGTTATGATTTAAGACTATTAGAATTAATAACCTTAATGTTAACAAATAAAATTATTATTCAACTTACCAAATTACAAAGAAGATTAGTCAAAGAATTAATTACCATTCTATAAATTAATTCATCTCCAGTAATAAATATAGCAAACAGCTTTTCTAAAAATTTATTTTTTAATTCTAAACATAAAAAATAAAACTGATAAGTATAAAATTTAAAATTATCTCGTAGCAATACAACCTTCTTCTGAAGTGAATGATAAGTATTCAAAAAGTTCATAAATTATTCGACTATTTTCCATTCCATCCCATGAAATTATGTATTGGAATATAAACATATTTACTGCTGTCAAACCTCGATGAGCAAATTTTTGAAATTCCAAAACTTCTTGTAAGAATTTTGTTTTTTTTAATGATTTAACAACAATTTCATTACTTAAAAACACTAATAACATTTTATAAATTAATATTTATAATAATTATAAAGATAAAGTACTACTTAAATTACTTTGATCTAAACTGTGATATAAATTATTTGAAAATCTATGTTGTAAATTCAATTCTTTATCATTGTTCATAAGTAATTTACACCAACCACTCACATTACCCAAAAGTATCAAGCTGTTATTAGAAGAGCCTTCTTTTATGAATGATTTTGCTAATTCTTCAGTACTGAAAATTTACAAATTAGTTATTTATTTTAATATACATAATAAATATTATTAAGATTTTTTTACCTTGGAAATTCAAATTTGTTATTAATATCTACAAACTGAATTTTACTATACACTTTATCATAGGACTTTCTTTCCTAAAATAAAATAAATATTATAGTTTAAAGTTTATGTTTAAATTAAAATATATTTAAGAAATATACGTATTCTATGAGTTGCTGGGTGTGCGTAGACTGAGGATGTATATTCATTAATTCTTTTCTAACACTACGTAAACCACATGCAAGTTCTTTACAAAATGTATTGTTACAATCAAAAAGTCCTTTTTGTCGAGTATTATTAATTGAATTAGGGCTTTCAAAGAAACTAAAAACAGAAAAAATACATTTCAAGTAGTTAAATATTATTATTTTAAATATTTATAGTTACGTTAGTAATTTGTTCAGATATGGTTGCGATTTTGAACCTTCTATATTATTCTTACAACATGTTATCATCCACTTTTGAACATCATCAGATTTAGTTAACCAATAAATTATCCCAGAAACTGGTTGATTCTAGTACAATAAAATTATAGTCAAATGCATTTCATACAGGTTTTGTAATAATATTATAAATATTTACTCACTACACTTTCATAGTTACAAAGATGAAATAAGACTTTATAATATTTATCAATTACATCTATATTAGTTAATTTTTCTTCGACCACATCTATTCAAATAAAAATAATACAAAATTTATTTTAGTATGTAAAATACAAAATAGGAAAATAACAACATATGATACAATATCAATACATCATATTAAAAATTAAGTAATAAAGGGTTAGGTACTTAAAAAGACTAAATAGTTTATATTTAATAACAATTGATTAGCTAATATATTTACAGTTTAATAGTGTAATACTTACAAAGTAACCAGTATAATATGTATTGAGCTTTTGTTGCATCATTAACATTTTGACGGTAAGATGATAAAGCCCAAATAATAAGTTCTTCGCAAATGTCATGTGGTATTGATGGTTCTTCAGGTACTAGTGTTAAAAGTATTCGTCTAAAATTTTGTACACCTAAAATAATATTATCAATATGTAAAAACGTTTAAATTTAATCTATCTAAATATTAAATATTTACAAATTAATAATGCATTTTGATTAAGTAGGTAATTATATACATTAATAAGTTAACATATTTTACAAAATTAACTTATGATACTGTTAAAATACTTAGGTACTTACTTAAATTAACAGTACACAACAATTGACAAACAATATTCATCTCTTCATGAACTAATCCATTGTGTTGAACAATATCTTTAAAATCATTCAGATAATTGCTAAATAATATATTAGTTGATAACTTGTTTCTTTCTAAAATAAATACAAAAAATTACAATTCATGTTTTTTAAAAATGTATAAGACAAAATATCCTAAATATAAGTTACTAAATAGAATTAAAAAGTTATGATATATTATTTTCTGTAAGTTCAAAATTTTGGAGCATGAAATAGTCACTCTTAATCTTGAACAAAACATGTAAATTTATTCTATTTAAGATATACTTGTATATACCTTGTATTACTTTAAATTAATATTATTTAAAATATAATAAAATACAAGTAAGAAGATAATAATTAGTTACTTTTATGTCATGTAGTAGGTATAACTTACCAATACTTTGAGATAATTCATTGAAAAACATAGTACGGTCATAGTGATAATCCTCTACTTGATCACTCATTGTTATGAATTTTGTTATAACTTACAACACATATATTCAATACTGACAACAGATGAGTGACTCCTAAAAAGTAAAAACCAGCCTGAATGCCAGGCCCTGATACAACCACAGAAACAGAACGAATAACCAGAATAACGATACAACTTACTGTGAATAGTGTGAATTGAAAAATAACGAATTTACGTTATCAAATTCATCTGTTATCTCTAAACACAACTACCACTTTAGTGGTAAACTGGTAACAGAATCGTTTGTTTTTCGTTCTAGATATTCTCCCACTTTTTATTTGGTTATCGTTCGATTCTTTCGGTGCTTACTGCTTGCTTACTATATAGTTAGTTTACTACTTTACTAGTAACAAATACTAAATTTTTGTACATTTTTGGTTTTGGTAGTTTGGTTTTTTAACTTACAACTCGCCACTCACCACTAGTCTAATTTTAATATTTTTGAAGTTTCCTACAATATTATTTTACATAATATCGTTCATAATCCTATCATTTAAGCAAGGTGTAACGAACAAAAATAGGATCAGTGAATGTTATCATCCAAAAAATATCATTGAAATGGTATAAAACAAATACATTATTGAATACAATATTCAAGATTCTACATTCAAACCTTGTATTTGATAAACTAGTGCACAGGTATCTATAATTTTTGTAAGCAAATAATATTATCTCACACATTGTATTGATTCCATGTTATATTTTTATGTTATTCTTCTATAGTTAAACATTAATAATGAGTTACGGCGATTCTGAAGCTAAAATGAATCTTTCTGCTTTGCAAAGAGTAGATCCATACGTTGATAGTATTGTACAAACAGCGGGACACGTTGCTTTGTATTCATTCAATGCAGAAGCTAATGCATGGCAAAAAACCAATGTAGAAGGGACTTTACACGTGTATACACGATCTGCTGAACCTTTGCATAGTATTATGATAATGAATAGATTAAATACAAACAATTTGATGGAACCAATTGAAACCGGCCTAGATCTTCAACTGCAAGAGCCATTTTTACTATATAGAAACTGTGGAGGTTCCATTTATGGTATTTGGTTTTATGACAAAGAAGAATGTGCCAAAATTTCTAATATATTGAAATCATTGATCAAAAACTTGATTGTAAAACAAAACGATAAAATTACCAAACAAGAAACTGGTTCCACCAAAAGTATTGATCTCGTTTCAATGCTCAGTCGAGCACAAGAAGATTATAGGTAATTATTTTTTTAATTATTCAATATATGTTCAATCTATAGGTGTTAAATATATGATGTATCAGGTTATTTTTTTAACTTTAAGAACATTTTAAATGTTAATTTAGATGACATTTCCAAAGTTGGGCAAGTTAGTCATTTTTTTCAACTAGTTAAAGTTTAGTTACTGTAATACAAAAATTAACTAAGTTAGAATAGAAGTTGATTTCTAAAATTTACCAAATTTCTAACTTAGAAATTTGGTGAAAATACTAACTTAAGTTAGGATAAAAGTTAGAAATTAGTTTTATTTTAAATTTAAAAATCTGTTTTTTCAATATATTACATAAATTAATTATTAAGTAGGTAGATTATAAACTTGAACTATTAGAGATGAATGAAAAATTAAATTGAGCAATTGATATTGATCAAATTTTTAAGTAGGTAGGTAATAAGTAATAAACTAATAATCTTCATTTTTTGGAATATCAGTCATTTTTCTTTAAAATATAAAAATTTTAATAAAATATGAAACAGTATAACATAACATATTATTTAACTATACTATATATTGATTATTGATTTAATATAAATATAAAAATGCATTCATAATTTATGCAATAAAGCTTACATTTCTTACATTGGCTTTATAATGTATGATATAGTTTTATCATAAAAGTAAAATAATATTTTTGTCATAAAATTGAGAAATGAAAATACTTCGGAAAATACTTAATAATAATCATATTTATTAATACATTATTATCTGAAAAAAACTACAAAAATAACTAGTTACTTATTGGTTTTAACGAGTTAGATTAGATTATTTTACACATTAAATGCAACTAGTTAAGTTACAAAGTTAGTAAGCATTAAACTTAATTTTAACTTACTAACTAGTGCCTAGCTTTTCTAAAATGGATCACTGACTAGTTATCTAGTCAAATAATCATATATTTTGAACTTAGAATCCAATATCGTTAAATCCATATTGTTTTTCAGTAGATATTTTTTATAATATGTTATAGCTATTTGTAATTTGTAATAAATAGTAGGTATATACTGCTCAACACATACTATTATGAAGTATATTAATAATAGGTGTTTATATTAATTAGGTTATACTTTTTTACTATTTTTAATGTTTTAGTGTGAGCAATAATATTAGTTTAGAGACTAAAGCTACATAGGCATAGAGTGAAAATATTTTTTATATTTTCCTCGCGTAGTTTTCAATTTTAAGTATGTTGTTTAAATTTCAAATTGTCACAAACATCTAATATTAAAATATCTATTGAAGCTATACCATAAGTGAACATCATAAAAATAGCAAACTTTATATTATTATACCTATTTAATTACGACTTTTAAAAAAAAAAAATTATAACCATAAGGGCGCATTTAAGGTTTATGCATTTGTTCTAGAAATTATGTATTTATATTGCCAAATTATTCAAATTTTATATACACTGATTTATAATAAATTAAATGTATTATTACATAAAACATACATAGATACATTTGATTGTTAGAATGACTGAAATGGATAAAAAAAAATTGTAAGAGTTTCCACAAGTATATTACCTCATAAATTAAACAGCTATTATAGTTAGATATAATTTTATATTTGATCAATCAACCCTATTAACAGTATAAAAATTCCAAGCAATTTACATTTAATGGAGATTGAAAAGGGGTAAATCGATAGGCATATAATTTGTTGTAGGCAACACTATGCAGGAGCAACTAATAAATTCTGTATTATGTTAATTAATAGGGCCAATAAGACCAGCTCCAAAGGATCCGAAACACCATCTAAGAAAGTTGAAGAAAATGCCCCCCCTCAGTGTGTTATGGATTTTTTTGCAAAAGCAGGAAGTGGAAAAAATTTCTCAGATGGATTACCATCATTATCAAATTATGCAAATACACAAAGTACACAAACTCCAGCTTTAAAAACGGTATCTAATGAAACTTTGTTGCACAAGTTGATGGCCAGTCCAATTCATACAGTAGAACAAATTGAAATGCAACAAAGGTCAGCAACGCCTAGAACGGACATTTTGGCGACAACTATTACTGAGCAAACAAAAACTAAAACATGTTCAACAAAAAACATAAAGCCCCGAAGTTTAATAAATCAATTAAATCAACAAGATGAAGATAATACTTCCCATGCTAATCGGAATGGATATCATCGGCCGAAAGATAATAAAGATAATTCATTTAGTGCATCATTGATTGAACATTTTCTTAATCAAAGTGATATATCTGAGAAATCAAGTATAGTTGTGGGTAGGTTTTAAACATATATTTGTATTAATTTCTGCTAGATTCTTTAAAAATAAATAATATATTTATTAAAACACCAATATTTTTTAAATGTTACATTTTTATAATCATTATTCAAAAAAATATAATTAAAAACAATTTTATGTCCTAGGTGCATCTATGCCATTAGAATCACAACTTGAATCAGATGAGCTAATGCCACCTACCAGGTTCATAATGGATGAAATTGAAGATGAACTAGTTACCTCTTCAGTAAATGCAATGTCAATAACAGAACCTAAACACCTGGAACCAGCAACTAATAGATTGGAACCATTAACAAAAAATCAGTTATTACAAGCCTTTGAATACTTATTAAAAAATGATCCAGATTTTATGGTTAAAATACATGAAGGTTATGTCAAGTCATTATTACGGAATTAAGATTATCTATTAGGATTCTATTACTTTAGTAGAAGTATGACTATTTCTTTTCAACATTTTGACAACAATTGCATTATTTTTTAAGCAATATATATATTTTTCCAAACAATAATAGTTTTTAATTGCTATTCTTAAATAATAAAATTAAATAATTAAAAAAACTATTCCCTATTTTATTTTGTGATTTGAAATTGTTTTATTGTATACAATATACATTCTGGCAGTATCTGATTAATTGAGAATAAATGCATGTATGAATTGAGTATTTTGATTTATATTTTGACGGTTGTAAGTACTTCAAAGTATTATTTTCATAATTAATAATTACTCACAATAGTATTTCAGTTTTTTTTTTGTCTGATAAAACTGCAATTTTTATTACCAATTGTCATATATTTATGCTATTTATTAAAATAGCTATTTTTGGTATATTAATTGTACTTAACTATTTAATTTTTAATTTTTTAAAAATAAATCTTCTGGTTTATTTTTATCCCAATTTATTATTTGTTTTATGAAAAAAAAAAAATGTGTAACTTCATTAAATAAATTAAAATTACAACCTTTCTTTAAAATTAGACTTCTGTATTTTAATCATGTATAATGCTTAGATTGTTTTGTATAATATTAAAAACCTGTTAAAATTAAGCTTTAAATTATTATAAATTAAAAATTAAACACAATTGTGTACTAAGTTTTAATGTTGATACTGTTAATGTGTAAAAATGTATTTATACAATTTTACATTTTCAAATATATTAAAACATAAAGTAATAGAATTTTAGTTATGTTCCAAAAAATAATAATATACAAATACATTATAAAAATAATTTACCTATTATAGCTTTTTTTTTAGAAATCTAAATTATTATAAATTGAGATGGTTTCAAATGTATTGTCCTCTGTATTTAAGATGTTTTATAAATTTATTATTGTCCTCTGTATTTAAGATGTTTTATAAATTTATTATAAACAGCCTAGTTTATCATTGCCCTTATCATTTTTACATTGGACACTTTTAGAATTATGTTTCTATCTGAGGTACTATTTTGGTAGATCTGTTGTATAAAGTCTTGCATTGAGAATTACATTATCAATTTATCTTCCAATTTATTTTGATATCTTATCTCTTGATTATTACTTTAAATACATGAATACAAGTACAAAAATAGATATTCAACTGCTATTTTCCAATATTTGTTACTGTCTATAGTTAGTTTGAGTGCCTAACTAATTATTACCGTTATATAAAGTGTAATATAAATGCAGATTTAATTAAAATATTTAAATGCATAGGTGCAGTTTTAATAGGTATTATTTTCAATAATTTTTAGTTTTGTTATTAACAACATAATAACATTTGAGTGTTGGTACAGATGTACAGTAAGTAATAAGTGTACCTACTACCTTGATACCTCTTCATAGATCAAGTCAGAAATTCCGAATTCGAGTGTACCTTTTTAATGAGAAATAAGTCTGTACTATATGTGTTAAATTTAAATGATAAATATCGCATACAAAATACAATTCTAAGGCGTTCTGTCAGTATAGATTTAATTTATTTCATGGAACAAGTTATACATATTACATACCATAAAATAATAATTTTAATTAATCGATTAAAATTACTATTAAAGTAATTTATTTTACTATAAAGTAATATAATTGTAAGTTAAATTCATTTTCGAAAACATTGCATATGCAAATGTGACGATGTGTGTAAGATAAAATACACGAGTTTCAAACACCACAAATAAGTAATTCGTAATTGTCAAAATACAACAACTTAACTAAAATTGTTATCCTTTGTTTTAATTTCGTTTAATCTGGTTTTAAAATGTCTATGATAAAAATTTTACATACAATATACATTCTTGAAATTTGTTGGTCACTGTACGAACTTTTTACGATAAACCTTGACGCCTTGTATTTATTTATCAATCCTCAACTATAAGAATTGGACATTTTTATTAGAGTCGAATATTTTGAAAATCATACTATGCATAGTAAATAATAATTTAAACATTTAGTGAAAAATTCTAGTATCTACGGATAGGTATTTAATATTTATGGATCATAACAAAATTGAAAATATCAAAAATCGATCGAAGGGGAGGGGGAATTTTTATTATACGGACTAATGACCAATGTCGTTAAAGTTCGAACTTCAAGCGCTCAAAAAACTAATGTGATTTTACACATTTACACATTATTGTTCAATGTTTAGATATGGTAACTAAAATCGTGGACCACATTAGTAAACCTACTAGAGCGCGATCATTGAAATCTTCATAGTCGTAATTCAGAATAATCACGAACTATAATAGTAAATAGTATACTTAGGTACACTGTATAATATCTCTTATTAAAGATATAGTATTTTCTGTAAATTTAATAATAATAATATATAATTTTTTTTTTAGTGGACTATGAGACGTGATTACGTAAACGATGTTGGTTTATCGAATATCAATGTCTCTCGAGTGTTATATACTTATATGATAAGTTATTACAAATAAGATTGTAGAGATGGTAAATACCTTTAACCATAAACTGTCTAGTCACGGGCCAAGAATTTTGTTTATTATTTTTGGAAAAGACCTACATAGTTTTCATTAAAATGGTGTTTTCTTAGTTCTTACTTCAGCTATTATCAGTATTATCATGAGTTAACATTTCATACTAGCTTATTATTCACAGATTAAATTTGCATTAATCTTCACGAATACCCTGGTTGTGTTCTGATCTGTTATAGTGTACAATGATAACTCATATTATTTTAGGTTATAAAAATATCCGGTTCTCTTTTTTGTTCGTGAGCTTTTGTAATTATTACCTATAATATTATTATTGAAGTTGAATAAAAAAAAAAAAAAACTACCTATTTTTTCAAGTTTTATTATGCATTTGGCTGACTTGTAGGCATCTGATATTGTCATTATCGAGACGTTTTTCTTAACCCTGAGACATTTTATTGATAGTTGATTTATTTTACTCTGAATTACTACATTTCCAAAACCCAAAATGGACAGCATTTTAGCTGCTAAGCAAATTTTAGAAAATTATGACGCTCGTGTTCCCAAAGAAAACGACCGGGTGTATAAAGACGAATGTCTTTATTCATTCGACTCTCCAGTAAGTACAGAATTTTGAATATATGTTATTAACTTCATATTTTATTAAGTATTGTATTGATGAAAAATTAATGTACACTTGTCATTTACTAAAAAAATATTACAATAACATCTATGAGTAAAAAATGACTAATATCTTATAATCTTATGTGTTGATTTTTGATATTTTTTCATTAAGTGACATTAAATATACTTAATGTATGTATAATATTTTTTTAGGACTATGAGACTGGCCTATTTATTTGTTTAAAAACATTTGCTGGTTTTGGTATTGATCATGTTGAACGTTATTATAAAAAAACTGGATGTTCAGTGTTTTTACACATGCTTAGAGAAAAAATAGAGGTATGTTCAATTTTTTTTCAATTTGAATATTTTAAACATTTAAATTCTTTTTACCTATTCATTTTTCAAAATAAATTTAATTTGATTAGAAATATGAATAATATTTATATCCCATAAATCAAAATTTTTAGAATAATTCACACAATACATTTTTGAACATTATGACATAAATATAATATTTAACATGAATATTATTAACTTGAACAAATAATTTTAACAGTTTATTTTATGTATATATTTTTTTATATTAGCAAAAGCTTCATTTATTTATTTATTTTAAACGTATAATTTAAAAATTATATTTTAAATTAACTAAGTTGTACAGTTAAATTTTTTACATATTGATCAAATAACTATAGTAATTAAATAGCAATTTAATAGTGAATTGTATGTCTAATTAAATATTATAATATTAATGATTATTCTTATTAGTAAGCTATTGTAGATAGTATGTACCTATCATATATATATAAATTGTTAGGTTGAAACCAAAATGACACAGGTAGGCGATGCTCCAACTGAACGGAAAATTACTAGATTAGCGATTGGAGTAGATGGTGGATTTGATCCAGATGCTGAAAATAAAAAATATAAAACAATAGAAAAATATTCTATAGTTATATTACCATCTTTTGAATCAATTCCATTTGAAACTAGTGAATTACCACAAAAAGTAATTATAAAGTTATATTTTTATTTTGTTGATTAAACAGTTAACACATTATTTAAATTTATTTCAGGTTATTGATTCTGTAAAAGGTATTATTGAAGCTAAATCTGCTAATTATTTGGATGAATTACAAAGTATGTCCAGTACTTGGGATGGTGAAGTCCGGCAAAAGACTATGTATGTGATAAATTTAATTTTTGACAGCATGTCTGTTTAAATAATACTAATATAAAAATGCCTGTGTCCATTAAGATGTTGTCATATCTGTGTGTTATGGTTATTTTAAAATAGAGTAAAAATGTATAATATTAATGCGATCATAATTTTCTTCAAAATTAAAATAGTTTCCTAGATGCCCTATAAAATTTGCTGTGTTATACATTTGAAAGATGGAAATAACACTTGCAATTGTGGTGTCCTTTTAAAAATAAAAATCAATACATCTTTTCTTACAAATATAATTTTATTATTCATCATTAATTAATTATAAAATTTTAATACATTTATTTGATTTGTTTGACTTTTTGTTAAGATATTCTATCTTTAAACTAACATATGAATTTTTATGAACTTGAGTTTAATATTTTTTTTATCTGCTAGATACGCTGATATAGAACAGTTAAATAATGGTAAAAAAATCGCTCCCAGTGGATGGAAGTGTGAATATGAAAATTGTGATAAAGATAATAACCTATGGCTTAATTTAACTGATGGTTCAATTTATTGTGGTCGCAAATTTTTTGATGGAACTGGGGGAAATGGCCATGCTACTCTTCATTATGAAAAAACAAGTATGTTATTAACATATTGCTATAATTTTAAACTTTATCTTGGCTTATTTTGTATTATTATTATTTTAGAATATCCTTTGGCTGTTAAGCTTGGTACTATAACAAAAGAGGGTAATGGAGATGTATATAGTTATCCAGAAGATGATATGGTGGAAAATCCAAATTTAATCAAGCATCTTTCACATTTTGGTATCAATATTTCTGCTTTAGAAAAAGTATTGATAAATATTGTTTATTGTTCATATATAACTAAAAATTAATTAAAAATAGTAACTTAGTATATTTGGTTATAGACTGAAAAATCAATGGTAGAATTAGAATTAGATTTAAACCAAAAGGTTAACGAATGGGCAACAATACAAGAAAGCGGATTTGAGTTAAAACCAATTTTTGGTCCTGGTTACACAGGTATTCACAATCTAGGAAATTCTTGTTACATGAATAGTATCTTACAAGTTTTGTTTTCTATTCCGGATTTTACAAATAAGTAAGAAATGCATTTTGTTATTTTCATATTCATAAACTTAATATTTATGTATTTATTTATTATCATTTAAAATAAATGTTTTTATTTATAGGTACTATTTAGGCCTAAGAGATATATTTGAAATGTGCCAAACTAGCCCCATTGACAATTTTGATGTGCAAATGTATGTTAATAATAATATTCAAGTATTTGTATATTTAATTAATTAAATTGTTTTAGGGCAAAAGTAGCCCACGGCCTAGTTTCAGGAAAATATTCTATGCCACCTCCTGAAGTCATTGAAGGAAAAAAAAAATATTGGCATCATGGTATTAGACCGAATACTTTTAAATTGTTGATCGGCAAAGGACATTCTGAGTTTGCTACAAAAAAACAACAAGATGCACAAGAATTTTTCTTGTATTTCTTGTCATTGATAGAGGTATTTCTATATATTTATTTATAAAAGTAATAATTCTGTATACAGTTTTATGAATATTTTTAGCGCTATTCTCAACAATCCCAGAATCCAGCAGAATGTTTCAAATTTAATATTGAAGACCGTTATCAATGTTCAACTACAGGACAAGTTAAATACACTTATAGACCAGAATACTGTTTGCCGTTATCTATTTCACTTGACAATGTGATTAACAAGGATGAAGTTGAAATATTTAAACAAAAACAAGCTGAATGTGATATTAAAGAGTATTTAAATTATTATTTCAATATTGCTAAATATATCTATTCAAACTAAACGCTTTCAAGATGTAAATTTTTAGTATAAATTAATATGAGTTATATTTGAAAAGTAAGAGCTGTTTCGTCATAAAAAACATAACTATAAGAAACAAGTTTTTTTAGTACATTTAGGTTTCTTCAAACTTCTTCAATTTTCCACATAATCATTGTTCACTTCTAAGTGTGTTTTAAACTGCTACACCACTTCTTTAACTTATCTGTATAGAAACTCTCCACCTGAAAGTTAAATCAGTTGATAACAGCGTTCTTAAGTTTCACGTCATATTCAAAATGCCCACCAAGCTAATGTTTAAAGTTCAAGAAGAGGTAGTAAGTTTTAGGTCAAAAAATTCTCTATAAAATACTTAAACTTCCTTTCTTGTTTGTTTTGGCAGCAATGTGAAGAAGCACGTTATCGTGGAGGATTACTCCATTTAACAATTTCCCATGTCGTCAATTTTGAATTGCATGTCTCAACATGTACTGTTTTGTAATACATGACAGTAGTAATTTTTGTATTATATTCCATAAAATCAACTTAAATCGTCCTCTTCCACAAAAACACAAATCTACACACTGTTACCAAAACCGACAAGAAAATCTAAGATTTTTGCTACAAACTTTTTGACCATCCATTGTACAGTCTTGACCTAAAACTTATTACCTCTTGTAAAGATACAGTAAAGAAGTGGTGCAGTGGTACGAAAAATGCTTAGAAGTGAACAGTGATAATGTGAAAAACTGAAGTAGATTTACAGAAAACTAAATATGCTGATAAAACCTGTTTTTTATAATGAACCAGCCCTTATTTTACGAATATTTTTTGTAATAAAGTAAAATGCTAATATTTAAACTATCATTTATTTTAAGGATTCGTTTAAATTAAAAATAATTAAACATCAAGAATTCATTCATGTTTTATTTGTTTTTAGCTCAAATTACATAGTTCGTCCAAAATTAAAATTTGCTTCTTGTTTAAATTCGTTTGGCCAACCTGAAGTTATTGAACAATTCTTCAATGCTGCATTAAACCAAAGAACTACTGCAGAAAAGTATGTAATATTGTCTTTATATTTCAATTTTTATTATACATCTATACTTATTGTTCTTAATCTTCAATAATATAAATAAAATAATATTGTAATATTTCCAATTAAATACAAGGATTACAAGATTTGCTTCTTTTCCTGATTACCTCATGATACATCTAAAAAAATTTACACTTCGTCATGATTGGGTTCCTATTAAGCTAGATGTATCTGTTGATATGCCTGAAGAAATAGATATTGAATATCTTAGAGGAAATGGTCCACAAAAAGGTGAAAATCTTTTACCGGAAACTTCAGGTGTGTAATAAATTATCTAGACCTTGTTAATGTGTGATATATTATACGTATTATAAACATTTTTATGATTTTTCAGATGCTCTTCCAGAATTTGTGTTTGATGAGAATATTATGTCTGAATTAACTAATATGGGTTTTCCTCCAGAAGCATGCAAGCGTGCAATATTTTTCTCAAAAAATAAAAGTCTCAACGATGCTACAAATTGGCTTATGGAACATATATCAGATTCTGATTTTTCAAGTCCTTTTGAACTACCTAGAATGGAAAATAATTTAGGTCTGAAAATTACATTTATGCTTGATTATTTTTCTATTATTTGTTTTTAGTTGAATTAAATCATTTAAATTTTTCTTATTTAGAATTTTCACCAAATGAAGAAGCAGCTGCTATGATAATGTCAATGGGTTTTGAACGAAATCATGTAATTGCTGCTTTGAAAGCTACTGAAAATAATTTAGATCGTGCACTTGACTGGATAATGAGTCACGGACCAGAAGAGATACTCACAACAGAAAAAACAGAAGAAAGTAATAAATCTGAATTCAGAGATGGAAGAGGAAGTAAGTTAGATAAAATAATTCAATATTAGACACCCACTTAATTTTTATAAGAATATGATTTTGTGTTATTTTAATTAATTTTTGAATACTGATCACAATATTTTTGCTTACAGTTTATAAATTGTTTGCATTTGTATCTCACATGGGCAGTTCTTCCACGGTTGGACATTATGTTTGTCATATAAAAAAAGAAGGACGTTGGGTAATATTCAATGATGAAAAAGTAGCAGTTTCTCAAAACCCTCCTACTGACTTAGGTTACTTATATGTTTATAAAAGATGGTCTAATGATCAGGTTTGATGTTATTTTATTGTAAAATATCATGAAGAATAATTTTAATTTATTTATTTTTTTATTTCTCCTATAAACTTTTGTATTATTTTCAATACTGAATAATTTTTTTTTGAAAATGATTTTTGTAAATTGTATTCAGAAATATTTTCTGATAGCAATGTTTATAAGAAAATTAAATACATGTAATTTATCAAATATTAACATTGAAACTTAAGCTAAATGCTTACAACTAAAAATTTAAATTAGTTATTTGTACTATTGTTTATAGGTTTATTATTTTTTTTGGAGAAACAAATAATGTATTATATTTTAAATAAACTTGAACTCGAAATTGTAACTAAAAAAAGATGTCTTCCTGTTATTGCAATCGCCTGATTTGTATTGTACAAGGTTTATTAATTGAATTATACATATTATAATTTCTAGTATTACTATTTACAAGTATTGGTATTAATAAATCACATAAAATTAGATAAGATTATCAGCACAGATTAATAATTTTTTTAATGTATAGCAGTGTTGATATTTACAATATTGGTACTTGAAATATTAGTGATGCAATTCTACGCCTATCACTAAGGATAAGATCCTTGTATCAGATGCAAGTCTTTAAAAAATAACTAAGTTACATTTAATAAAAAACTAATAATAATAAAAAAAATTTCAATAATTTATAACTAAAATAAAGTAAATGCAAAATATAATTATAGAATTGACAATAAACAAATAAAAATGTGCATGATAATAAAATTTATAGTATTGATAAAATGATTTCACAACATTATTTCCTCATTCATCAACCATCTCTTTATTAATAACTTATAATTTACAAATTTCTGACAATTTTTTATTTCCATCGCAAGCTTTATGTATTATATTTTAAAAGGACGCTACACAGACATATTTTGTTGTCTTTATTTTACAAGTAACATGAAAATTTACGTTCAGTAGATAGGGTTAGCTTCGTTAGTTCAAAAATTAGAGTGCATCGACCTATAATGAAACTTGATGGTAAGAACATTTTCTGTGTTTATATGTGGGTTTTTACGATAATTCAATTTTTTAAATGAGTTATGATCATTTTTAATTTACTATATTTTACATACGCAAAACTCGCTAAAAAATAGAACTATCGTAAAAACCCTTCATACAAACACAGATAATCTTCTTACTATCAAGTTTCATTATAGGTCGATTCACTCTTAATTTTTAAACTAACGAAGCTAAACCTAATCTACTGAACGTAATTTACTATGTTACGTACTTATAAGACAGTGACAACAAATGTTTGTGTAGCGTCCTTTTAATCCCGTTTTTAAATACCTATTATAAAACTTTGCAGTATTTATTTTGGGGAAAATCATGTTTACGGATCTCATGTTAAAATTGTGTGTCAACGTTTGAGGTGAATTATTTTGTGTTAAATAGTATAATACCTATAATTTTTTAACGGATAATATTTTCGTTTCTAAGTTTAATTGTAATTAATGTGTTTTTTGTGATTATTATTATTTATGTAAATTTAACCGGATTAATGGACAGTGGTTTTTAAAAATTGTATTATATTAGTAAATAAAATTTACTAATTTAGTCATTTTAATCATTCACATGATTTATTAATCCATAATATTGTGTTGTTGCGCACTGTAGTGGTGTACATGATTGTAGAGATCCATGAAATTACGCAATAAAGTTCTGAGTTTTAAAGACATTATATGGTGCAATTTTCTAACATAAGGATTATGAAGACTTATATACAGAATATCGGAAACCAGAAGATTATATATTTGAAATTCAAAATCCTATTTACAAATCAAGATGAATAATTTTAATATGTCGTAATAAATATATTAAATATTATTCTGCCACATTGCACATGACAGAAGTAACTATTTAAAATTTAATAGCCTCTTAAATTTATAAATACCTACTCATTTTATATATATTTTGACAGATTAGCTTGTGTAGTTATGTTGAAAGTTTATTGGTTGACCATTGATGGATCGTGCTGCTTTTTGAAATTTCTAGGGAAAATGCTGAAAAATTAAAGTAGGTAGTAATAGCTAAGTACCTATATTTTGACAATTTTGGCTATAAAAAAATGTTATATTTACTTAACCAAAATTATATCATATAGTTGATAGATAAATCTATAATCATGAAAAAAGAGGGAACTATTTTATTTGTAATAGAAATGACTAATCTATTTGTAAGCTTGTAATAATTACTCTGATATCAAAAGTTTGAAAAATGACAAATTGAGAACTATAGAACCTCCAAATTGTTAAGGCATAATTTTTAATGAAAGAAGGATTATAACCATGTAACTACTAAATAAAAGTCGAATTGATAAATTTGTATTTTAAAATATATGGTATAGTACAGTATACCTACCTAGCTATTTGCTTTTTACCTGTTACACATATTAATTTATAAGTATATATACATAATACGATATAGGAAAATATATTTCAATAGAAGATTTATTTATTTTTCCAAAAGAAAATTAAACGAGCATATAATTTATTAATTTTATCAGAAACTACTTATATTAGTATGGTGGATTTATAAAGTCTCCAAATGCACTTAAAATCAATTTTAAGTTATTTATTGGCACTTCCCCTCCCCCTCAAGCCAGTGGTATAGCATCATTCGTCCGTTTCTATTCAATCTGTTCATTAACGACCTAGGTACCTATCTCAAAGTAACAACATGCTTATAGGCACATTTTTCTGATTACGCAGCTATTTTAGTTTTCCTAAATTTTAAATTAAAAATATATTCATACATTTAACATACTTACACACATTAAATCAACCAAAATAATTCCTAGTATAAATTTGAAAACGCACAATTACAAATAAATTTAATTGTACCTAGGTATTCATATTTCATAATTTATTATCGATTAAATCATTCACAACCATCATAATTATAATTTATAAAGCTTTAGTTCGAAATCTAAGTTTCAACTTTTCCCAAAACCTTGTATGTGTTTTTGACGTCTGTATAGGTACGCAAGAAGTAGTTGAAAATGTATACAATTTTCAATTTTTATAGTTATAAATTATAATAATAAAAAATGTAATACAAAGTTTCTTGTGAGCATTTTGTATACTGTAATGTGTATCTAATCAAAAATATTATGATTTTTTCATAATCATTTTTAATTCAAAGTAGAACAAAATTAGATATTTAAACAAAGAATAATAATTTTAATTATTTTGTTGTAATTTAAAAATATTATTGTTAACACTTGAATTTTTTAAGTATATAGCCTTTTAGTTAATTGTATCATATTTTATATAATATAATTACATTTTCTTATGCAATGTTTTCGGAAAAAATGAATTGTATCTACTACTGATGGTAAAGTAAATTACTTTAATAGCTACCTATATAAATATATAATGAAATTGTCATACATCGGCTTATTCCTCTACTCCCGAAGTAGCTAACACGACACACTCGGCATACTCGTCAAAAATTTCTTCTATTAGCATAAAAGTTTTACCAGTAAACGGCAATTCAAATCAAATATTATATTGTTCTCGCATCGTTCCAACAATGAGGTTCAAAAAAACAAAATAAAAAATAGTAATAATAATCGCGTTTGTTTACTTTATAAGGTTTATAAGAATAACTACTATTATTATCAAGAGGTTTTGGTTTCCATAGTAGTTATTTGACGGATCTATTTTTCAAAACTTTTTTATTCGCAGTAAAGAGATTGTACGCGTTTACAATTTTACGACATGGCTAGTATGAAATTTCAAAGTGCGCCTGCCTACACGTTGGGCATGCGGCTGCCACAGAAACAGACGTCACTTCGAGTGCCCGGCCCCAAGTATGACCTGAGCAACGTCACCCGTCACGGACCGGTCAAAGTGATCGGGGCCTCGCTAGCGTCCAAGTTAAAAGTACAAACGACACGTACTCCAGGTCCGGCCGCGTACAACACCGTGCCCTGCATGTCCGCAACTATGCCCACCGTACCGCAGTGTTTCATAGGGTTAGTATAACAAGTATATGTAATATTAATGATTATCCTGTAATATTAGATTTTAATTTTATCGATATATTATAAAATAGGTATGCAGTTTATATTTTTATGTGTATTTATACTTCATTGCGATACAGAGTTTGAAAGTTATTCACAATTTTATTTGATTGGCCGTAGGGCATACGATTATTCTTTGTACGAGGTTTAACCGTATGATGTACGTGGCGTACAGTGTACACTGTATACTTCACCTAGATTTTACTCGAATAAATAATATTAAATAGTTGTTCTGAGGTAAAATACGTAGCTATGGTTCATATAAATGAACAATAAAATCGTTAGAGAAAAAAATGATTCGAAAATCAAAATAAGTATGTGTGTGTTTTTATTACAAAAATTCTATTCAATTATTTTTTTTTTAGTCGTCATTAAAGATTAACCGGAATTAACTGCATAATGGGTTACAGATATACGATTATTTTGATTTTTTTCGATTTCACCTGTGTGAGTACTGTAAAAACTTTTCGGGACATCGCGTAGTATTCGTTTAGTTGTTGCACTTTGTTAAGTCCGTGAAACTAGTCCTTCAACTTTGTTCAAACATTTTGAAAATTATGCTCAGGGTTAGCAAATAGTTTGTAAAAATTTGCAAGTCTATTTTGAGAATTTGCAAGTATGACTTAAACATTGAAGGACTGAATATTAAACTTTGAAAGCTGGTTAAGTATACTTACTTGCAAATTCTCAAAATGGACTTTCAAACTCTTACTTACTAAGGTAAATGTTTTGAAACAAGTTTGGAGTTTGTGGATTGACATTGAAAAGTTGGCTAAAGTTGGTCCTGCAATATTCCTCTGGTAACTACCATAATTCACACTTGCAAATTTTAAAAATAACCTTACAAATTCTTGCTAACACTGAGCATAATTTTGTAAAAAATTGAACAAAGTTGAAAGGCTAACTTCACGAACGTACTTTGTCAACCGTTTTTTCTTCACTTTTGTTCTTCGAGTCGACCTCCAGCTCAGGACTATACACTCGACTCTAAAAACTATAACAACGCTTTCGTAT